TACGGAGACTTGCCACCGTCTCCAACCCTCCTCCTTTCTCATCCGGGCTTGGGACCGGCCATGGCGGAGTTTTCATAAAGGTCATATATCGATTTTTCTTTGTATTTTTTGTTCGTTTTACCGTTCATGCCGAGCTCAGAGTTCAGACCGTAGGAAGCTGGTTTACAGCAAGGATTTCGTATTGCGAATAGTGGATGGCCACACATTCAGTCCTTTCTTTCTAATTTCTAAACTGTGTTTGCCTCATTTTATAGAATTTGACTTCAGTAGTGACTATTAGGCGTGTCTCGTGTTCTTTCGTTCAACTTCAACTCTGCTTCTGCATCTTGTTTCAAGATTTGAATCTGACTCCCCGGCAGATTTTAACTTTATACAAAAAGAGCTGTAATTTGATTTTTTCATGTTTTTGTAATTCCATTTTTTATTACTTTTCTTGGTTTACGTAGAGGCTGTTGACTGCTTTGTTCCCATTTGTTTTTTGTGTTTCTGCCTCAGGTAATACTTGCTCATTGGTGATACTTTGACATCGTCTCATAAGATTGCTGACTACACCGTTTATACAGTACGCCTTGTTTGCAGGAGCGCGACTAACGGCAATTCCATCGAATTTGGTGATCGCGCCGAGTGCCAGTGCGACTGTTCCGTCAAGCCGGGTTGCAGCGCACAAGTACACAAGTCATTGGGATTTGCTGCTGGCGAAGTACTTGCTTTATGTTTCCTAACTGTCATGATTTTCATCACGATACTAGTATACACTTTACCTTGCATTGTTTACATCTGTCTGTGATTATTTTGCGTCATATCAGCGGGCTTCTTCGTTTTGGGTCAGAATCTGCGGAAGAGTGTTTTCTGAGTTTTTGTTTATGGGCATTTTCGGCGAGAGTCACTAGGGAAAAATTACTGGGGTTCGTTCGCTGACATTTATCTGCCAGCCACGGCGCACGATGCATTGAATGATGCGAGAAGCTGTTGTATTATGCCAGATCACTGACTTGACAACGATTCATAAATAGGTGTGCTGATGAGTCATCTACTTATTCCACGTCAGGTCGTTCGCAGAAATAATTTCTTCTGTCTCCCTAGTATGGAATTTTTCAATGCTGCTGCTGTAGCTTGTCGCATGAAATCCACTTGAAAGGGGGCACTAGCAAATAGGTTTCTCTGCTTCACAACTGCCTAACTGATCGGCCATCCCTTTTTGTGGTTTTCGCTCACCTCCATGATATGAAATAAATGTTGTTTTTTTGGACCAGTAAGGTTACAGATAGAACTAATTTGCAATTTAATGTTGTAGAAATAACACTTGGCCAGAACAAGGATCTTGGAAGCCATATCTCTCGTTCTGCTCTCTTTTCACGTGTTTCTTTTAGTTTTAAATCAATAGCGAAGTCAGACCTTACATTTAAGTTATGTACTTTGCTAACGTATGTTCGTGTCAGATAATGAGTAACTTTTTCAAGCCGAATTTCACGGCTTATTGCACCGTCCCTTTGTTCCTGGTTGCCTTTTTGACGGTTACTGTTCCGTGATATTTGAACACCTGCAGTGTAAGATGCATTTTGCATCATTTTGTTCGCTAGAGCCACCTCGCACTCATAACGAAAGATGTTTAAAGAGCTGGTGCTCATCATTCGTGCACCACAGTATGTCAAATGGCGCATGACATGTTAATAAACGTAGTACATTTGTTTCATACTATATTCAGCTGTACCAGTTGTAATCCAATGGTGGTTTTCATGCTTAAAGTCGAAACGTTAGAAGCTTAGGATTTACTAACACTTTCTTTTTTTAATACCGGATTGAAGCGGCTTAATGGCTTTGTCTCCTTGCTTTTAGTCGCCTAGGGGACCATTTAAGCAAGCCACGGCTCCATTGTATTTCAGCACCTGCTGCGCATGAATGCAGGGCCGATCAAAGGCCTGTTCGGATACCTGCAGATATGCCACGATCCGTAGGTATATTTATACATAAGAAAAGGGTTTACAGATACAGATACAGATACTTGGCACCGTCGGTTGATGCATGAGTATGGAATAATTTTATTTGTAAAGTGTTGTAAATTTTTACGCCCAGCACCAAGGTCTCGGCTGATATTACCAGTCATTATTAACTGCAAACAGTTTACAGTGGTACGGTATTACGAGACAGTCAAGGTGTAAAATCACAGTGTTTTTCTCATTGTCAGAGGTTTACATAAACATTGTTATAAAGGAGAGATTTAAACGCTCTCATATTTGTTTATGAGATACGGCCGTGTGTGGATTAAACGTTTGACATTTCGCTTTACTATTAATTTTCTTATTCAGTAATTAATTAATTGCTATTCGTTTATTTGCCTTTCTTGTAGTTTAAATGTTATAACTGATACTAAAGTTTATTTCCATGTTATTATTGAAACATTGTTCTTATTTATTGCCTTGGTTTCAGTTAAAAGAAAGGATGTATGACATGATGCGGTTAAGCTATGCGGATATGGCTAAACTTAAGATGGAAAAGAGGGAGAAGATGGATGCTGACCAGCGTTTGTCGGAGGGACGCGCCGCAGCCAAAGATTCCTGTGAAGGGCTGTCAGCCTCTGGTTTGAACAACGCCAAGCCAGCCATCGAGGAAGAGAAGAGGTCGATGTCAAGGAACGGTCAGCGTGCTAATCGGGAAATCACTAAGAAGTAAGTGGCTGATGTGCGGTGCTGAACCATATTTTTTATGCTAAGCTTTGTCTCTTCCGCTAGTTCGACTGCAAAACCAAATGGTCGCTATCGTAGTGAAGAAGTTGTCACCCAGCAACGGCAGCAGGACGCTGTCACGCTGTCTTGACAAACGCCGCTGCCGCCGCCGGCTCGTTGTGACATTTGTGTTCTGTTTTGTCCACGATGTTCTGTTGGGTGCGATGCTGTGTACTGAAGAGTAGGACCACAAATCGCAAAATGCTGAAAATAGTAGTCGACGCGTAAAAGAAATGGCTGTTTCGTTGGTCGATTGGATTGGAACGACCGGTTACTTCGGGGTTTATGTAATTTTTGCCCAACTGCGTGAAGAATGGTCTTTGCTGCTGTGTGTAATATGTTCATTCACATGATGCTGATGTCATTTTTTCTTTTTTATTTACGGCGTCATTCTCCGGTTGTACGACGATGTATTATTGACTGGTGTCGATCGTTCCTACTCATCTAATGAGAGCCTTTGTTTTGCTGCTGTTTCAGTCTTCGTGTTCTTGGGTGGCTGGCGTAAGGCAGCAAGCAGATATGCTTTCGTCGTCGCTTTTTCCTCAATTGCTACTTTTGTATGACTGTGTAAACTCTTTGCGCCTTTGGTCGACACTGCGGATCGATGCCCAACGGCATCCGACTGGCAGCGAGGAGTTGTTAGCCATCTTCGGTGGTAGAGGACCACGTCCGAAGAAGGTATGGGCCAAAGCTAAATAGGCAATTGGTCATTAGAGACCTGCTTCAGCGCCAGCAGGACGATGTGGACAGCAGCGACCGTCTTCATTTATTTACAGTCGTCGACGCACCGGGTCAGCCACCTGGTAGCTTTTCGTTTCGGCTGTTCGAGCA